AAACGATGAGGTGGATGTGTCCCCCATGTGACGGGGACTGTCCTCACATAGCCATGGTGCTGGGAAACGATGAGGTGGATGTGTCCCCCATGTGATGGGGACTATCCTCACATAGCCATGGTGCTGACAGTGTTTTCTGCAAGACGACAGTGGCTTCCCCGAGGCACCTGCCCCCGTTCAGCTGACAACTTCATAATCAATAATCATGATAAAAATAATCAGGAGAATAAGGTATAACTCCTTCTCAGGAAACTTGAGTAAGGCTTACCTGGCCCTAGGAAGAAGCATAACTGCTGCCTCGAGCCACGGTGAAATCCAGCTCCTCTGAAGAAAGGCAAGAGCCCTCCCCCATGCCATCAGCCCAAGAATACTGTCACTCTCACTAAACATGTGTGTCTTAGGAGATGAAGAGAGCAAGTACCAAAAACTTGTTTTGACACTCAGCCCCTCATGGCACCAGGGACAACAGAGGGGAAAGTAAAAAGCCAAATGTGCAGAGCAATCCATCTGCAGAGAAGCCTGGGGAGGAAGGTGTCTTTAGGGTACCTGCTGTGCATGGCAGGTTCATTACATCCCAAGCCGACAGGATTCTGACCTTTCTGAGAGGCATCTGGAGAAAGGAAGCCCACAGTGTTTCCTGCTCATCTGGACCCACGCCCTTCCAGAGGTGCTTTTCCCCAGTCCAGGGCAGTAGGAGAGACACAGAGACCAGGTCCTGGTGCCAGCTCTGCCACTTCTCATCTTTGGCACCTTAGCAACGTCACACCTGAGCCACCCCAGGGCTCTGCCTTCTCCTTCCCTATACAATGACAGCATTGAACTGTGAAGGTCCCCTCCTACTGAAGATCCTGTGACTTCAAGAAGGGCAGGAATTCTCTCAGCACCTTAGCATGAAGAACTAGCCTTAATCATTCTACTACAAATGTACTTTGATGGGCTGCAAAGCTCCAGCCTCCTGGGAGAACCCAGATGTGAGCTAGAGCACAGAGTCACCAAGATTTCCACCATCTAAATAGAACTGCATCTCTTCTTGTCTTCTTTCCCCCACTCTTCTCGTATTCTAAAACTTGAAGAGATCAAAGGGCCTACTCAGGGTGAGGTACCTCCCTGCTGAAAGAGAAATGCAGCACATCCCAGCTGCTGAATGCCAGTATTTATTGAAGTTTGGTACTTGCTATCCTAACCACGGTGGCCACAGGCAGTGGTGCGCGTGATGCACTGCACAAAGGTGCTATTTCAAGGGCGCACCACCAAAGAGAAGATAGTTTATATTCAATAGCATATTTACTATGATCGTTTTCTGGAAGATGGCAAAGTGTTTTGATCTAACAGAATCAGTATATTAAGTAATTTCAAAAAATTTTTTATTAAAAAAGCAACTTGAGGAAGGGAGGCCTTTTTCTAATTGATATAAAGTCACCACATGGACTTGCCATGGCCCCAATCTTTAGCCTGGATGCCAACTCACAGGAAAATGGCCAGAGAGAGATGCGAGCACTTAATGGCCTCTCTATTGCCCCAAAGCAAAACCTACAGTCAAGAACGGAATCTACAAAAGTCACCCACATAGGTTGTAAATGACACATAAGCCCAAGCAGAATCCCTCCTGGGGATATTTATATTTTTTAAAGGTCAAATGAAAGAATAATTTCTTAAAGACTGGGTCCTTATTTTGCTCATCACTAAGTCCCAAGCACTTGGAAACCTAACACAGTGTCCAAGTGTCCACAGAATATTCTATACCTAGAATAGAGTACGCACTCTAAACGTACAGGGGTTCCCAAACTGGTAGCAGTCTGAGGCCTGTTAGGAACCGGGCCGCACAACAGGAGGTGAATGGCAGGGGAGCAAGCATCACCACGTGAGCGCCACCTCCTGTCGGATCAGCAGCAGTATTATAACTCGCAGGAGCACTGACCCTATCGTGAACCGTGCATGCGAGCAATCTTGGCTGCACGCTCCTTATGAGAATTTAATGCCTGTTGCTCTGAGGTAGAAGTTTCGTCCCGAAACCATCCCCCCACCCACCAGTCCGTGGAACAACTGTCTTCCATGAAACCAGTCCCTGGTGCCAAAAAGGTTGGGGACCACTGCTCCAAACGGTTTCATGGAATAAGCAAAACCAATGGAAACAATCTCTGTTGTTTTCGCTTATGTCAGAAACCCACTGGTGGGGAGTGCAACCATCCACGTCTCCTAAACTCATAGCCCAGAAAGAGACCCCCTGTGGTTGCGCTGGAAAATCCAGCTTGTCCTACTCAGGACCCTTCACAGGCCTTCCCACAGGACCTGCTCAGGAAAGCTGCATGAATGTTTCTGAGACCAGAGAAAACTGGAAATGCACAATCTTCTAACTTCTTTTTACTTATCCTACAACCGACAGAATCAGAGAAGCAGTCCAGAAACTAGCTCTAGATGTCAGCCAGCTCTTAATGGGGCCAGGTAAACAAGACAGGAGCAAAACGCATTTTCCATTGTCCTTCTTCCCTCTCATGACCCCCAGCTTTTTCCCAGAACTCTCCATAGGAGCGTCCGCCTGCCTCTGACCTCACTCTGATGGGTCTATGTCCTGGGCGTCCAGAGAGCAAGTACCAAAAACTCATGCTCATCCTGGCTTACCTGTCACTCAACCCACATTCTTTCTAGGTAAAGAAGTCCTTGGGGCCGGGCGCGGTGGCTCAAGCCTGTAATCCCAGCACTTTTGGAGGCCGAGACGGGCGGATCATGAGGTCAGGAGATTGAGACCATCCTGGCTAACATGGTGAAACCCCGTCTCTACTAAAAAATACAAAAAAAAACTAGCC